GTATAATTTTGTTAATTTGTTTTGTGGGCCGTGTTGCGGGATCGCCATGTATTTCACGGGACCGGCAAGGTCATCAAAACTTAAATCATTTTTTTCTCCAAAAATAGGTACGGTCTAGTCTCCAGAATAGGAGGTTCCATTCACAGATCACACATGTTTATATTTAATCTATTCTTTTGCTAATTAAACAGGCCTAATGTCAAATCAACCCTTTCGAGTGTGGGCTTCTGTTGATCTCCTAATTCTCCACCAAATTCAATCAAGCTAGTTCGATCGATTATCTACATCGAGTCGGCCCGTTGAACCCAAAATTATTAACAATTATTCCCCTACCGAATGGGCTATTGACTCAGAGGCCATGAGGGCGAGAGGAATAATTGTTTTAGTAAAATCCAACTAGTACGTTGGTCAAAAATGTCGAGAACAAAAAAGTTTTAGCTAGTTAAAGCTAGACTTTAATCCTTTTTTGCCGCCAAAAAGCGCGCGTTTTCCGCTACTAGTAGGCTATAACATATAGCCTAGTAGTAGCTCAACCAATCAGAACGCAGCATCGATAATAGACCACTAGTTGGAGTTTACTAATGCGAATTATTAAAAACTGAACCATTGGATAATGCAATTCTAGCATTTTGATTGGTTTAGCCGTTATGGTATATGAGCTAATATACCATGTTCTCCATATACGGTCGGTGTACGCGTCAGTTTAAAATTGGAAGCTAGCTGAGATTTTTTTTCGCGAAGGATAGAACGGCGCCCGAAGCAAATCGTTTTAATTCATTTCTTAGAATACTAGAAATGCAATTTCAACGAAAGAAAAAAGACAAAAACAAACAAAAAAGCCACAAGAGCTTGTTTGAAAGTTTGTCGAAAAACACATGGAACTAAAGTACCTTGACCAGCTACGAAAGAAGACAAGTGCTGTTTCTTCATGATCGCGAAGCCATTCGCCGATCGAGTCACTCGCCGATAGATAACTGCAGATTGTTTATCCAACATCAAGAATATAAATCACAAGTAACCAGCTACAAATACAGGCTATGCAGCCATTCACTAGAGCAATCGAGGCGGCAGTATAGCTTCTTTTCTCGTTCAGCAAAACCAGCTTGTGGCTTCAAACAACTTCATAACAAGCGACGAGGTAATACCAGTAGTTTTTCTCCGTTGTTCTTACTTTTATAACTGCACCGAAAATCCAAATTCATGGTAATTTCGACGGCTGTCACTTAAAAATTCCTTTCCTTCACATTATCTGCCAGGTTTTTTAAGCTGTTCTGCTGTGTAAAATCCTAGAATCACGATGAGTTTTTTAAAAACTAATGTTCATCGCACAATGTTTTGATTTTTCATTCATGCAGTCTAGGCGAGCCCGTTCGCGCGTTGACAGTTTTGATAGACGTGTGACATGTCAATAGCGGAAGTCCCTTGTCTTTTCCGGTTTGTTCTAGTCGGGGCGATTCAACGAGATTTTGTGGGCGTTTTTAATAAAACAATTATTCCACTCGGGCTTGTTGGATATGAAATGATTATAGCCAACTCGGCGCTATGCGCCTCGTTGGCTATCTATCATCTCATATCCAACGCGCCCTCGTGGAATAATTGTTAAATAGCCTTGAAATACGCGCTTAAGCTAGTTTTCCTCAAATGTATATTTGAATTCTTGATAAATACAGTTCCACCAGCTTCAGACAGCGTCTATGGCAAAGAAAAATTGTTTATATATGACAACATTAATTTTTCAAATCATGTATGTCACTATGGTGCAGTGGTCATGCAAGGAGTTACTTGCACGTGCAGATAAACCGGGTTCTACTCCCGGCGACGCTGTTTTCTATTTCCTTGTCGTACCGTTTTTATTTCTGTTTGGTCTCTGTTTTTTAACACTATTTTTCCTTTTGGCCCGTTTTCCTTTATTCTTACTGCTGAACCTACTGGTCATGCACTTGGATCAAGTATATTTTAAGCTTAAGTCTGGAGTTTTATTTTGGAAAAGGGATTTCAAAAGCTCTTGATCTGCATACTGGTCAAGCTTACGACCAGAAAAAAACCATAAGCTGTCAAGACATGTCCCTCCTCTGAAACAGCTGAATGTTTTTCAATGTTAGTTGACATCGTGACAAACAACACACAGCACACCACAAACTGTACTAATTTGCACCCAACACCTACCAGTGACACACTGGCGTTCTGAAGTGTTGAAAAAAAATATTTCACTCGTTCCCGCCGCCTTTAATAGCTTTAGCTAAATGCAGGCAGTGTGTATGTTTAATGTATTTCTTTGCTGTTTAATAAAAGTAATGTTGTTGTTGTTGTTGTTTTTCAACAGTCAGGAGAAATCAGGGGCACCCAAAGACTGTTTTCTGTAAAATATCTGTTCGGAGGAGCAAAAATTGCCTCGAATTTTCTATAGCTAGAGGAAGGCTAAAAATTTCTAGATGACCGTTCCATTCATGTGCAATTTGCGTAACATATCTAATAAATTCTCTACGATTTTCCAAAGTTCAATTTTTCGCATTTCAGTACCCAAGTTTGCCTGTTTTTCGCAGAAAAAGGAAACCTAAAACTTTCGGATCCAAACATGCGATGGAGGGGCTGAATCAGAAAAATTCTTACTTTCGTAAAACTTAAAATTGCGTCTAAAATTTTCGGGAAAATAATACGGAGGCCCTTGTAATTTCGAAAAGACTCAAGTTGCCTTAGGACGACCGAACAGATACAAATTTTATAGCACCACTTAGAATGCATTTCTAGAGAGCTGAAAGTACTCTGGATAGCCTGAAAAGTGTTGTCAATGCATTTAGGAGGAAACTTTCCTTGGGTGCCCCTGAGAAATTCCGTATCTTTGCTCGGCCATGTGATATCTTCTATGTATACAACGTGCATTCTGTGAATACCCTATACTGAAGAAATCTACTAGATACGCTTCGTCAAGTTCACTGTCGGCTCGCTGTGCCCACAAAACTACAAAGTTCGCATACCATTGCCCATAATCTCCCAAATAATTTCTACTGAAGTTACTTATTTTCTACAAGTGGTTACAACAACAACAACTTTTATTGACCCCTTATATCGTTGATGCAAGTTGAATAATAGCTATTATCAAAATTACAGTTCTCGGTGGGTTGACATACGTAATGAGGCAATAGGGCTATCCTGGCTTGGTTTTGACAAAGGATAATTTTGACCTTTTCAGCCTCGTAATTGAGTTTCCGTTCCACGTCGAACTTTTCATCTGCCGACCTTATTTGGGTCGACCCAAATGATTAAGTTCGACGGTTGATTGAGACGTCGAACTTTAACATGTGCCGAATCTAATTTTTGAAGTAAACAAGTACTATTTTCGCCGCTTGAAAATATGAAAATGAACTGATAAAGGGGTATTAAACTATTTATTTTCATTCCATTTCGTTCGAATAGTTAGTTTGAGCATTTATGGTCACCAAGTCGGATTAATTATGGCTCAGTTTTCTGCCGTGCTCCGTTCATGTTAAAGGAAACCGCGATCATATTGAGATACAAATAATGAATGAATATATACAGTAGTCAGGGTCGGCCAGGGAGGGTAGTGGTATACCGGTATACCCGAAAAAATATACCCAAAATTATACCCAGGTATACTCTATACCTGAAATTCAAAGAAAGTGATATACCGAATACCCGTATTTAAGCTGCAATATACCGTATACCCGATTTAAAAAGCCCCTGTATACCGTATACCCAAAAACCCTGGCCGACCCTGTGTAGTGCAAGAGAGGATAATTCTCTTGGATAGTGTTAATGCAAGTTGGAAGTCGACAGTTTCGTGCTGGGGGTCCAGTTTCTGCATGTTTCAGTTTAAACCTCCATTTTGAGAACGCTGTTACGGTCATCAAGCTTCTGTGAGTTCTCTTCACGTGTCACAAATCACTATACAGCCAATCATAAGCGCTGTTATATTGAAAAAATATATTAACGTAATGTATGCATTAGTTTCGGCACATGAGGAGGTTCGACGTCTGAATCGATGTCGAACTTCTGCTGTTCTACTCGACTGGCGCAGCCGAATAGAACGGCAAATACAAATCTGTCGAACCTAATTGATTCATAAGTCGAACTTTTCATGTGCCGAATCTGATGATTAGGTTTGGGACATGCAAAGGTCGACGTTTGAACCGGGCCTAAGTGCCCGATCGAACGCCGTAATTTGGACGGAGGGGGAGGGGGGAAGGGCTGCTTAGTGACTTGAAGTATGGAGGCTGGGGATTGTCTCCTTTTATCAAGTCCTTACTTTTTGGAAAACCTTGGGGAGGGGAGCTTTAGTCCCTGGACTCCGCCTAACCCTAACCCTAACCGAGACGACAAGCATCAGCGACACCTTTATATGGGAATCATCCACCCTCCCCTGCGCGCTAGCCTCCAACGCGGGCCTTTTTGGGGGATTAAATTAACTGTAAAAACCGTGGACGAAGATCCTGCTAGTTGTAAACGTTGGATCTCTAGAAAAGAGATCAAATCAGCCAAAATATATAGAACCAAGAACGAGAAGTCCAAAGATTACTGCAAAGCTGATTTAAAACAACATGTATTGTTTTTTATAACAATATTTCAGCTGGCCATACCAGCCTTCTTCAGGTTTACAGATGTTACTGAACTTATGTAGCAATCACAATATTATACATCTGTAAACCTGAAGAAGGCTGGTATGGCCAGCCGAAATATTGTTATAAAAAACAATACACGTTGTTTTAAATCAGCTTTGCAGTAGTCTTTGGACTTCTCGTTCTTGGTTCTTTTTGGGGGAGCTCGCCAGGTGGTTAGCCTGTGTAAAGAACGGTCCTCCTTCCACAGAAAAAAATCGGAAGAAGATACCTCTCCTCTCCCGATTTTTTTCCCAGCGAGTGGGAACGTTTGTACACAGGCTACGGGTAGTAAGATCTTCTGGTTTCCATCACAAATATCGCATTTCTTCTAATAACATAGTTGTAGCCCAAGGGGTAGTAGCCAGTCATGGCTTTGGGTCGTGTTTACCCTAGGGAGGCCGTTGATGAGTAAGAAGGGGGTGCGTTAGAAACCACTGATGAGTAGGGAGGTGGGGGTCGTGAGGGTTCCTGAGTCCTTTGGAAAGAAGCACTGGGATGTCCTCTTGGTGCGGGATTTGCTTGGGCTTGTTTTCTCGTCTTCATATAAATGCAGACTAAAATTATGCCGATTATTGCAACTCCACCAAGACTACACACGACAACGATCATTATAGTGCTGCTGCCACCTAAGACAAACAAAACGCACATAATAAATCATCTGAAAGCAATGGTCACACTACACAACTCCGCGGTATGGCCAGTACCTTACGCATGCGCAGAGCCATATCACCCGGGTAGCGGCAGCCCTAGTAATTTAGGCGATCCACAACTTCATATACCGCATTGCACGAGACTATTTTACAGTCCCAGCCAACAGTTACCACATGTACTGTGAGGAGCTGGCGCTTATATGAGTGCATTGCACTCGCCTCGGCAGTAAAGGGTCTCAACACAGGGATTTCCTCTGTTCATTAACCCGACGGTTTTTAAAAATCCCTGTAATGTAGCATTGCGAAAGACTTCCACCCGAGCGGTTTGTACAAACGGTAAGCATCCAGGTTTTCCTCCCTCCCCAAAACTCAACCCAAATTACAATTTGATCCTTAACGTATCTCCAATTAGTTCCGGGAGACAATTGTTACTGTCAGGTCTTACCTTCTCTTATTATCTCTCTTTAATAGACAAAGATCAAGAGCATTACGATCGATGAGAATCTGATTACCTTTTTCGGGGCCATCCTGTTCAGGTGGTACCGTCTTTTTGTTCTTCCCAGTATCTCGTTCATCGATACTTGTAGGTGTAGCGCCATTCGGTGAAATGGAATAAAACTGTGCAGAGAAACCTTTGAAATTCCTTTCATTTGACTCATCCGTCACTAAATCAACTCTAACAAACCTTCCACTGGAAATAATATCGGAGGGAGGCTTCGTTCCACAGAGTTTTGCTAGAAGTCTGTCTCTTAATAGCTGCCCATCGGATACAGTCACATAATCGCACGTGCAATTGTTCGTTGCAGTTGGACAAGATTCCACGTCCAGACCATCAAAGTGCAGTAAAACACGGTAATTCAATGGTACCTTTATTATCCACGTACATTTCTCCCTACTCGGGTAGGTCCCCGACGGATAACCTGGGCTTGAAAATCTTCCTCGGTGTATTCCGAAGTCACCACCAAGATAAACTATTTCACTGCAAACTGAAAAGTAACGAAATAAGCTAAGACAAGGGGTTCAAGAGGAGCGTCTGTGTCTTTTCTAAGATCAAAAACATTCAAATGAGTCTATTCAATATCTCAGAGTCTGACATGAAAATTTAGACTCTATCAAATTCCTGAAGTGAAACTATATTTGCTGTAGGTGAGTATATCTTTATCTGGTCATTAACCCATTTTTATGTTTTGCTCCTGTTGTTTGGTGTTGTTGCCGTTTGGTTCTTCGTGCCAACTTGCCAGACTGTCTAACGTATCTGCATCGGTAGAGGATCTTGCATGGTGTGAATGATTACACAACCCCAATAAATTAAGAAATAAAGCACTGTAAATGTGCCTTAAATCATGCAAATGTATCTTTGACTTAAGGTCTCGGTAAATGAAAATTTTAGTACATTGCTCGATTTTGCTTTTTTTGGATTTTTGGCATGAGTGGGTCCTAAATTTTATTTTGGCAGAAAAAGAAAATCAGAAAGTGCTTTTTAACCCTTCTAAAATGAGCCTTTTCTGAGCTAACCAGCCAAGCGTGGACCTCGCGCTAAATCTTTAGAGCTGATTTTCTCTCACTCTATTTTAGACGCAAAAATCAAAATTCTCCAACCTCCAGTCGGGACAGGTTTTAAGCTATCGCTTTCAAACTTTCAGATATGATGGATAATGATATAGACTCAAAAAGGGTGTGAGGAATTTTCCGATTTCCCTTTGTTACTCATTTTATGTCAGTTTCTTTGCGTAAATCGCGCTCGAGATTCGACTTTTTAGTTTGAAATGCAATAATTCCGCTAATACGAGACATATGCAAATTTTCTCACACCCTTTTTTAGGTCTTTTATCTGTCAATCAGATGCAATAAAAAGGAAGTGAATATTTAACAACGCGAAAGGGCTGGAGCTTCAGCAGTAAACTCGATACCTCTGAGTTCGAGAGCAAAAAACTTCAGCGCCTTTTGAAATTCGATGAAATAAAATCTTTTATAAGGTAATTTAGTCTTTTAGCTTTAATTTGATATATAACTTGCCTTTGTAGCGAAAATACTCGCGCGACTAGAATTTTTTTCTGTGGGCACCTCGTTTTCCTTTACCGAGACCTTAAGTCCCTTTGACATGAAATCTACATACTGCTACCTAATAAATTTGCATCAGTAAAGGAGACAACCGCCCTTTCGCATAAATCGTTTGAATTTCGCAATGTCCAATGAGTAGATTACAACTATTTTAAGGTTTCTTAATGTAGATTTCAGTTACGTACTTAGATTAGGCCATTACGTTCAGTAGTTTATCTCGTAGGATATTTCTTAGCATTTAAAGAAAATGAACTCAATGTTGCTACGTAAATAGTCTTAATGAACCATCTATTTCTGCCCATCTACAATGAGGGACAAAAGTGTTGAGACACTTCTATAAGATGGCCCGTTTTTGCATAGTGGTCCTACCTTTCCCCTCCCCCTGTGTACCCCCACCCACTCCCCTCCAAATCAATCTTGTATTTTAGACCCACAAGTCGTTCTCTTACTACAAAAAATATTGATTTAGGGGTTGGGGGATTTACGGCGTTTAAACAGGACAAAATGATATAACTGAATGAAAATGTTGATAAAAGAGCACGTTTTCGACAAGTGTGTCAACTACTTTTGTCCCTGATTCTAGGCAACTCAGTCTTTACCTTCATTTGACCAAGCAGTTCTTGCGATAATGGCTGAAGATGAAAGTGATAATTTAAAACGTTAGTGTAACAATTGAAAACCGACGAAAATGATAAACCAGTTTAAATTGAAAGAAGAGTTGGTACGTTTCTAAGCACTGGTACCTTAACAGACACTTGTACGGAAATGGGTTAATTAGCCGCATCATCTATATTAGCCGTCAATACAGGTAGACTGCCTCTTGCTCCGGAGAAACGGCTAGGCTACTGTATAGAACGGTGCTGCCAAAATACTATCCGGAAAATCATGCTCGCCTTTTATAAAGCTACAAGGCAAGCATATAGGTCTTTCCATACACGTGGGAGGATTAGTTTAGCAGAAGGTCCCTTAAACAACAAAAATCTTTTTCCTTTTTCTTGTCGATAATCAAAACTGTAAGCAAAACAGGAGCCGCGGGACTCGTATATATTTAAACGTTTTTCCTATTTTATGTCAGTGTCTTTCCAGGGGAACTAGACTTCTGTGCCCATTTAGGCGCATGATCAATCTCTCGTAAGGAGCCTAACGCGTCTCTATGAAAGGTTAAGAAAAGAGTTCATTTTATGCTATTAAGTAAAATAACATAGACTCACTTCACCGACTCAATATCTAATTGTTTGGTAAAGAATTTACATTTGCGCGTTACACAGATATGCAAATTTTACCTGATACTGTCGATACTAGAAAGTGGACTTTCGGCTAAGATTCCAAAATGCAACAAGAAATCAACGTGCGCTACAAAGGAAACGGAAAGGTCGGGAACTTTCACGATTCCACAATTGCATGGGAAAGGATGAAAACGTGGATCGAAAGCATGTGCATATTTTCCTGGTTCTTCTGAAGCACAATATAATTATACTTGTTCTCTGTCTGAAAACATGCAACTGTGCGTTACATGGCAGGGTAACCCTTACCTTATCCCACTGAGTCGAGGAAACGTTTACTTTAGAATCCCTTTTGCACGATTCTACTCAACAGCACCTAACGAAAATCGCTTATAGACGCAAAACATGAAAGAGAACTGATTATTAAACAACATGCAGAACAAGCAATTTCATGCAGTACCTTGCAGTACACCATGATTAAACGGTAGGTACGATTTGTTTCAAGCTGATATGATTGGTGGAAAAACATGGCTCCGAATTGCCCGATTTTAAGCTCCGAGTGTGGGCCAGGATGCTGGTAAGTCCAATAAAACAAACCAATTACCTTCTGATGTCAACCTTTCAGCTCTAAAAATACTAAATAAACTCGTAATGTAAAGTTGTTTATTTTGGTACGACTTGTACACAAGCCTAATAAATGCGGATGGAAGGAAGGGCGGCGACAAGGGCTGCCAAAATGTTGCATAAAAAGTGGATTCGCGCTCTGACTATTAATCTTCATCGCGATTATTCCAATTCTCTTACTTCGGTAAAAGTAGGCGAACTCTTCTTAGAGTTAAACTCCTAAGAACCTTATTCAAGTTAAGAAAGAGAAAGAACATTTTGCCGTCGCTTGCTTACGTACTCTACAAAACGTTAAATTTAGCATTTTGATGTCGTAGTCGTGCAGTGAAGGCAAAGAAAATGTACAAAAAAAACGTGATGCACGTGCAGAGTTGTTATTTTGCTAATCACTGCACCTATTGTTTTGTTTTATGTTCTTGTTGCCATCGACTTCGTCGGATCCTACCTGATGTGCGAGAAAAAGAAGATTCGTTGAAAATTTGCTTAAATTTGCATGTTTACACAGGGCAAAACCTGGACTTAAATCTGGCAGTAAAAATGGCTTTAGCGATGGCTTCAGCATTAGTAGTTTGAAATTTTTGCAGGACCAATTAGCAGTTTCTGATGGAACAATTTTTGTGGTTTACAAGATGCTTGTCATTTGTACATGCTGTTCTTTTGGCAGGCAAATAAAGTGTGGAGCAGCGAAGAAGAATGTCCTCAGCATTCGTTTTTATGGGCAAAAAGCCGAAGCAACAGCAGGGGCCTGCGGCACACACCGCAAACCAGAACAAGGTGAAGTATTACCCAAGAGTCACGGCCTTAGGAATTTTTAAAAGTTAATAACATTTTTTTTTTTTTGGGGGTGGGGAAAATAAGATCCACAAATATTGAAAAAGGTGTCGTGAATTACATAGGTTAGGAATACGATTATGAAAAATCCCCCTCCCCATAAAATGAGAAAGCTTTAAACGAATGTATTGTTTTTTGCCTATTTCAAGAATTCTAAATTAGGAATTTACGCCTTCTTTTCAGGTGCAGCTTCGTGGAGAAATCCTAAGACAGTTACGGGAACTGAAAGATTTAAAGGATGCTGATGTCTTGGACTCCACACAATTTGAGAATCAGAAGCGCATCCTGTTAACGGAGCTGAATGGGCTCCAGTAAACAGGCACAATCCTGCGCTTCATTACATTGTTTTGTTATAGTGTAAAATCAATAATTCTGACAACGATTGCTAAAATTAAACCAAATTTATGTCGGGAAAGTTAAAACACAAAAGAGAACACACTTTTGTTTTTGTGGGCGTAATAATCATGAATAATAAAAATCGTGAAATTACGTGAAAAGACTCGGCTTTTATTTCTTGGTCTGTCAAACACAAGAGTTAAATGTCAATCGTTCACAGCCTGGCCTAAATCTTGCCACTTTAATCAGGGAGGGTTAATATACATACTGGCTTGTCGTCGCCGTTGGGCCACTGAGGCAAGAGGGCGGGACCCGCTTAAGTACAAATTAAGCACGGCAGGCCTAAAACATAGGTACTAGTGGGCTAACAGGTCAGTTTGAGGGCTGGTTGACTAATTACGTCCCTGTAGAGTGCATGTTAGTTTACAGATATTCAGAGTGTCGAATGTAGTTTCGCACTTGCTCGTCGAAAACGCTTAAAAATCCCTCCATGACCATGTTTTCGGGTTGATCACACATTCGCCATTCTTGATCATTTTCTCTGATCCACGACTTCACTTGCGAAATTATTCCCTCACACGGCATGAA